TCAAACATCTCATCTGGAACCTTTGGAGGTTTTTCTGACCACAGGTTCAGATTCTGACGCAGAACTCTCCAGAATGACCTTGAATCAAACCTTGAATCAGACATTCATCCTGCAGCCTGAGCAGTTAGAGGTCACACGAGGACGAAGCCAAAGTGACGCATCAGGACGATCAGCTGCTCCGGAAACAAACAGCTGATCGATATTATTATTATTATTGTTGTTGTTGTTGTTGATCAGAATCGTCTTCATCTCCTCTGCGTCAGACGTCTGATCAAACCTCTGCAGCTGCACAAACCCTTCCTCCTCTGCTCGTCCTCTGAGCTGCTGCTCGGCGCCACCGTGTGGTCAAACAGGGAACTGCAGTCGGTTCGTCTCTGCTGAGCCTTTAAATGAAGCTAATAAAAGTGTTTTTGTTGTTGTTGTTTCTGAGGTCGGACTCACCTGTAATCCATCATATTAACGGTAAACCGTTCACCGTTATAAATAATTAACTTCAGTAAATAAAAACTGGAGCTGCAGTGATTAAATATTGAATCAAGCGGCCGGTTTAACGACTTTTTCTATAATCCATTAATCAGTTTGAGTCATAAAACATGTAAAGCTGATGATCGCAGCTTCGTAAATGTTTAAAGATCGTCTCATGTGATCTGCTGTTTGAACAGAACAGAGACCAGCTGAAGGTAGAACATAACTGCTCTAAAGAATCTAAAAATTAGTCAACGACTGAATTAATCACCAACTACTCTGATCGTTGATGAATTCATTGTTTAAGAAAACACTCTGAATTTTCTTCTTCTTTTTCTTCTTAAATGTGAATATTTTCTGATTTCTTTGCTCCTCTGAGACAATAAACTAAATGTTTTGGGGCAAAATAAGACATTTGAGCAAAAAATATTCACATTCTTTGACATTATGGAGCCCAAACAGCTGATCAATTGATCCACAGATTAATTGATTTTGGGAATAAACANTATTGGTTAGTGGATCCATCACAGGTGCTGCAGCTCAACCTGCACAATGAAGACGGATGAACCAACAGGAGGCAGATCAGAGTCCAGAGACCCCGTCTGTCCTTTCCCCTCCTTTCTGTCGGCAGAAGCCCAACGTGGTCGGAGCTCAGGTGAGTCTCTAACGGAGCCGTCAGCGGCGCCGGATGATGGATGAGGCCGTAAAAAGGCTGATTCTGGAGGCTGAGATCACCTCCTCAATAAAAAGGCATCGTCCCGAGTCATCACAGCGAGGCGTGAATGCTGATGAGGCGCCGGAGGATAAATCAGAGGAACACACGCTCACATCATCACTTTGGTTCTGATCCCGTCTGTGTTCTGTTGGGTTCTGCTTAAAAACACACATTCATCAGCTGCTGGTGTCCTTCAAAGTGAAAAAAGTCACGAGTTTAACCTAGAAGGTGGTTTTAGTCTCATAAACAGATTCTTTAATTAAAAATATAAACATCTAAAAGTCACTAAAGGCTGATTATTGAGCTTTAATAGATTAAACGATGACTAAATCTGTGGATATATTTTATTTGCTCGAGCATTTACTTTATTAAACACTTCAAACTCAGAGAAGTGCAGCTTCATTCAGTTTAATTTATTCACTTCAAATAAAATTGACCCTGACGTGATGTCCTCAACAAATCTGAATTAAAATGGTTTTTTTTTTAAAGTTTATTTACTTTATTAAAGCAATTAAACACAGAAAGATTTTATTCAGTGTAAATGTGTATTTTATTTAACCCCTTTAAAAGTAATCCTGACCTGGTGTTCTTTCATAATAAGAAGATTTTTGGCCCGATTAATTTAAAATAAATAAAAAATAAAAATAAAAAAAAATATTAATTCAAAAGTATTCAAAACTATAATTTGTCGTTTTTCTGCATTAAAATGTAAAAAAAAAAAAAAAAATCTAAATAAAGCGAATGTTCTAAAATCAGCTGTATGATGTGTTAACTTTTATTTTTAAATCAACAAAAATATCATTTAAAGTTGATTTTCCTTCAAATTCAGCTGCAGCAACACAAACCGTTAATAACAGTGGATCTAAACTAAA